ATTGATATTAGAGGGGTTGGAGTGGAGTCCTATTAACGCGAATAAAGTTAGGTGGTTGGAAAGGCCGAGGAGGAACTAAGAAGGGTTATTTTTGAGTGTGGGCATGATAAGGCACCTGGTCTTGATGGATTCACTTTAGCTATTTACCAGGATTGCTAGGATATAGTTAAAGAGGATTTACAGAAAATTCTTATTGAGTTTTTCAGGAATGGTTTGGTTAATACAATTACCAATTCTACTTTTATTTGTTTAATCCTAAAGAAAGAAAAGTCCATGAAAATTAAGGACTTTAGGCCAATAAGTTTGGTGTCTAGCCTTTACAAAATCATTGCTAAAGTTTATCCTTAAGATTAAGAGACTCCATCAGTGATACTATTTCTGAGTGTTAAAGGGTTTTTATTAAGGATAGACAAATTCTTGATGTGGCTCTTGTGGCAAATGATGTGGGAGAGGAATATAGAGAGAGAGGAATAAGGAGGGTTTTGTTTTTAAAATTGATTTTGAGAAAGCATATGATCATGTGAGTTGGAGTTTTTTGGATTATGTTATGGAAATGAAAGGATATGGTGGGAGGTGGAGAAAATGGATCCATGATTGTTTGCACTCTATGAACTTTTTGATTATGTTGAATGGAAAGCCTAGGTGTTGATTTAAGGCTTTCAGAGGATTGACGTAAGGGGATCCTTTATCTCATTTTCTCTTTACTTTGGTTGCATATAGGTTGAGTAGATTAGTGAGAAAGACTGAGTTTGTAATCTTGTGGAAGGTTTCAGTGTGGGAAGGGATAAAATTTTAGTCTCTCATTTGCAGTTTGTTGATGATACCATATTTTTTTTTGTGTGAGAAGGGAACCAACTTTTAAATTTTAAGAATATTGTTGAGGTCTTTGAATTAGTCTTTGAATTGAAGGTGAATATGGATAAAAGTTTCATTGTGGGCATTAATTCAAATTATGATAAAATCAATAGAATGATAGGACTTTTGAGATGCAAGATGGGAGAATGGCCTATAAAGTATCTAGGGTTATCGTTTGGTGGGAATCTTTTGTCATTATTATTTTGGGACCTTGTAGTTGAGAGAGTGGGGAAAAAACTCGTTGGGTGGAAGAAGACTTACATATCAAAAGGGTAAAGGTTAACTCTTGTTTAGTTAGTTTTGTCTAGTATTTCCACATACTCTTTATGTTTATTTAAAATATCGGAGAAAGTAGCTATGACACTTAAAAAAATGATGAGAGATTTTTTGTGGGAGGGTAGCAAGGAGGGGAGGAAAGATCACTTGATTTGTTGGGAGGTGGTTTCTAGATTTAGGGATGGTGGTGGTTTGTCAATTGGTAATGTGAATGCGAGAAATATTGCTTTGGTGAGTAAGTGGCTTTGGAGATTTCCCTTGGAAGTAAATTTTCTATTACATTTAATTATGAAGAGCAAATATGGGTTACAAGCCAATGGATGGGATGCTAATAAGGTTGAGAGAGGTAGTTTTCGTTGCTCATGGAAATTCATTTTTTAGGATTGATGAGGTTGAAGTTTTTCTAAAATGTAAGGGTTACAGTCGGTAATGGAGAAAAAGTTCACTTTTGGGAGGATATTTGGATGGAAGAGTCTTCACTTTCATGTTTGTATCCTCAACTCTATTATTTGTCTTCTTCTCATGGGTCTTCCATTGCATCTATGATTAGGTCATACCATTACCTGTACTCTTGGGACTTTGGTTTTCGTAGGAATCTCGATGATATAGACATTATCGATTTGATTTATGTTCTTGTTATTCTTAATAACGTCACTGTTAACCAAGATTCTAGTGACACAAGACATGGTTAAATGAGTCTTCGGGAGTTTTCTCATGTAAAACTATTTTTGATTCTTTGTTGGAAGAAAATCCGTATTCTTTGTTTGCCCCTACTTTGGACTTTTAAAGTGCCCATTAAAGTACAATTCTTTGCATGGATGGTAGCACATGGTAAGATTATACTAATGATATACTTCAAAAGAGGAGGCCTCATACTGTTTTTTACCCTTGTGGTGTGTGATGTGTAAAGGTGATGTAGAGAGTATTGATCATTTATTTTTACATTGTCTGGTTACTTTGACATTATGGCATATGTTGTTTTGAGTGGCAGGGTTGAGCTAGGTGATTCCAGCATATTCATTGTTTGTTGAAGATGTCAAACGTTTTGGAAGATATGATAAAGGTGTTATTCTTTGGAAGTGTGCTATCATGGTTAAGTTTTGAGTTTCATGGAAGGAACAAAATGCAATAATTTTTGAAGATCGGAGTGAATGTGTGAAGGGATTATGAGAACGTATTCATTTTTCTAGCATCTATTTGGGCTTCGGTGACAAAGGAGTACAAAGGAATTCTGTTTTTTGCTATTGTAGCGGGATGAAGAGTTTTCTTTGATCAATAGGTTTATTGTTTCATTGTGTATTTCATTTTAGTAGTTGGATTCTTTATCCAACTATTTTTGTATCCCATATTTTATTTATTAATAAAATAGTTTGTTTCCTATCAGAAAAAAAAATAAAAAAATTCTATCCATTATTCATAGATAGGAGAGTACAATGTTCAGATAATGAAGTTAAGATTGCACTTTCCCGATAGAGTTCATACCCTTTATGATGGCTTAATTTTGTTTCGAGAATCAATGAACAATTTTTTTGTATCAACTTTGGTTATGAAGTAGAGAACATACCTTAGCACCACCGTTGGGCTGTTACATTGTAACTTGACTGTCATATTTTCAAGTAACATAAATAATTTGTATCCATAGTAATCGGAAGTTCATGCGCTAGACTAAAACTTTTTAAATCCTATTCCATTGACCCTCCATCCATTACTTGGGTCTTTTGTTGTGAATACATTTATGACGAAATGTAGAAATGAGAGGCAAGAATAGGTTGAATCTTGCAAAGTTGTCACTGTGGCTTTTCATGATATAAACAATCATGATTTGGCTTTTTGCAAATTCTACACCTTTTTCATTTGGCGGGTTCTGGTTTCATCTATGCTCCTTATGTTCTTGCTCGGTTGCTGATGATACCGAAGAGAGAAGATCCTTGAGCCACTTATACTTTTTCTTTCCCCTTTTATGTGCCTGTAATGGACTCCTTGTACTTCCTTTTTCTTTGCTAATGGAATTTTCCATTCTATAGCTTGTTTATGGTTGCAAGCAGTGTGGGGTAAGCTCGAACCCTTTTTACTTTTTGGGTCTAGGCACATATTGACAAGGTTTACAACTATAGGTGTCATCCTGGATCCGTTTTAACCTATTGAGTAAGACTTATTACTTTATTGTAAGTAATTCCCTTTTGTGTGTGCCATAAGCGCACTTGTTACATCTAATCATGCTTTCTTGGATATGCAGAGGAGTTTGAGTTTATTACACGTCAATAAAATAACATTTGCTAAGCTAGTATGCAATCCTTAGTGGTCTCTCTATCCTTGCCATTCGATATGGGTTATATGCTTCTAAAAATAACATTATATCTGCCCAAAAGTGGAGTGATATAACATTCTTTCATGCTAACCGCTCCAGCCTGCAAGGAGTGGACCAGTTGAAGCCCAGACTCAACTCTACATTATAAATTAGTTTGCTCAACTAGAAAGTCACTTGCATTAACAGTGGCTCAATGGGATTTAGAACCATTTGGTTTATGTTTGAGTTATTGCAAGGGATAAGGCTGTTGTGAGGTCTCATTGTTTGTTACGTAGTTTTTTTGTTTTTAGGCAAAGAGTGGTGTAGGTTTGGGTTTTCCCATTTACACAAGACCAGTTAGTCATGTATGTAAGTAGACCTAATTTCATACTTCAACCTCAAGCTTAGTTTTAAATTCTGATTGGCTGTTGGATGATTGGAGAACATAGAAAGGGACATATTACATCTTGTTAGGGCTGGCATGTCCCTCTTTAATCATTGAAGTGGTTGTAACCAACGCATAACTCCTCTGGGCAATTTTGCTTTGTATTATTGTGGTTTCTTTTCTTCATTCAAGTGTCTGCATCATTAATACAAGTTGCCTATGTATTAATTTGATTAGCGACATGAATTTGTGCAAAAGATGCTGATAGGTCGCATGGACCCCCTAACCCATGCCCATATGTCGAAAGCTGAGGATGAAATGAACAATTGACATGAAATTAGGAAGGATTCACAAGTTTGGCCAGAATTTGTTGGGGCTTGTAGAGTGGGTAAACTGGGGTATTCTTTCCTTCCAAGCTATCGGTTCTTTTCCTGCCTGCCTTGCTTTCTTTTGCGTCTGCTTTTGTAGGGGTTTTGGATCCTGTAAAACCAAATTTCACTCTAATTAATTATTTTACTCAAGAGGAACAAAGGGCAAGAAGATCCAGAGTTTTGGGGATGTGTGTCACTTGAAGAAGCTAAAACATGATTAGGAATGAATCAAGTTTACGGCTTCTGAATTTTATAATTGAAGACTTGGCAATGGGATCAGTATGAAGTTAGGAGATGTGATAAGAGTCCATGACGTTGGACAGACAAACCTTATCCTATTTAATTCCAAACAGGAATATTAGGGAAGCCTTATCCAATGGGACCGACCTTTACACGCACATGCTAACAAAATTTACCCATATGTCATTGAATGAGTCACAAATTAGTTACTACTTTTTTTAGTGGAAAAATCGGGTTTGAAACTGAACAATTTTTCACTTGAGGTTTATCATTTCTTCTGATAAATCTTCAAGATTGCATCGGTAAAAACATCAAAAATGAATTTTAGCAGTCCAGATAAAGTAAGCTTGGTCATTATTATAATAGAAAAAAATATATAAGGAACTAAAAATGAAAAAGAAGGAAGAAAAACATAAAGAAAAGGACATCCATGAAGACCAGGCTGTATAACATGTTTTTTTTTTTTTTTAACAAAAAAAATTCAACATTATTCAATTGAAAACATATTTAAAAGAATAAGTCCATACCAAAACCAGCCAATTGTTATTTTTCTATATAGGTTACAGAAATGCATACCAGCTCAGACACCACCATTTAGATGTATGTATACAAATAATCTTACATATATATATCATGATGGTCTCACCTGCCGCCTAACGGCGGCTGTTAGAACACGTCTATCGCCCACCTTTCTGTTTGGCATTCTTGAATTGAATTTCTCAACCTCTCTCTCTGATTTCTTCAAACCCAAAACAAAAATCATCGTTTTCTACCAATCCAGTCAAAACCCAGCAATTATATATCTTATAACTGCATTTAAAAATTCATGTTATTGGTTTTATTTTTTTGTTTTAATTTGAACATTTGTATAATCAGCAACAAACTGAAACTATTTGCTCCTCCTTTCATTTTCTCATTCTTGAGAGGCTTACCTGCCTTCCTTCCTTCCTTGGTTTGGATTTTGCCTTTTGATTTCCTACAATCATCGTCTCTGATATCGATTAGTTCTCTAACAACTAGTGGTTCATGGCAGTCTCGCCACAGGCTTTCCCTCCAAGGAAGCGCCGGCCTTCTGCGGGGTCGTTCGTGTCGCCCAACTTCTCCGACCAAAAACTGCTTCAATCTCTCTTGTTTCTCTCTCAAGAAATCTCATCTCTACAACCCCTCCCTGTTATTCTCAAGAAACAATCATCTTCAATCCTTCGCAAAACGAAGCTACTGGCCGTCCTATTTGAAGAATTTCTCCGCAATAATCTGGTTACTGGATGTTTTCCACCTTCGGCCATATTATGCTTCGACGAATTGTACATAGTTCTGCAACGAATCAAGACTTCGATCGAAGATTGCTCCAACGGAAGCAAGATGTGGCTTCTCATGCAAAATGAACTGATCGCCAACACTTTTCACGAGCTCACCGTCGAGTTGTCGACTCTTCTAGATATTTTTCCAGTCAAAGAATTGAATTTAAGCCAAGATGTTGAAGAATTGGTTGCCTTGATCAGAAAGCAGTGCGTCGACACAAAGGGTAATTATATAGATCAAGCTGATAATATTCTTAGACATGAGGTTTTGAAAATGCTGGACAGAATCAAGAGCGAGATTGTTCCAGAACATTCCAAGCTCGCGGAAATTTTTGATAAATTACATTTACGCGATACGACCAGCTGCAGAGAAGAAATTGAGAGCCTGGAAGATGAAGTTCAGAATCAAACTACTGTGAAATCCAAAGGTGATGTGATTTCGCTGATCGGACTCGTTCGTTATGCAAAATGCGTACTCTACGGAGCGTCGACGCCAAGAACCACCCCCAGCAGGCGGCGGAAAATGTCTGCTGACCTCTCTTTGCCAGCGGACTTCCGGTGTCCGATATCTCTTGATTTGATGAGAGACCCGGTGGTGGTGTCCACGGGACAGACCTATGATCGGCCGTCCATCAGTCTTTGGCTCGAATCAGGACACAAAACGTGTCCAAAGACAGGTCAGACATTGGCCCACACGGAGCTCATACCCAATTGCGCTTTGAAGAACTTGATAACCATGTGGTGCCGAGAACAGAGGATCCCATTCGATTCTCCGGGCAAAAATATAAAATCAAGAGGCTTAGTAATGAACAAGACGGCGTTAGAGGCTACAAAGATGACGGTGTCATTTTTGATCAACAAATTAATGGTCTCACAATCAGTGGACACGACGAATCGTGTGGTTCACGAGCTTCGGGTGTTAGCAAAGACAGATTCGGACAATCGATCCTGCATTGCGGAAGCTGGAGCTTTGCCTCTGCTCGTCAAACTCTTAGGGTCGGAGCATCACAACTTACAAGTTAATGCCGTTACGACGATTCTTAACCTTTCTATTATGGAAGCCAATAAAACACGAATCATGGAGACTGACGGAGTGTTGAACGGCGTTATTGAGGTGTTAAGGTCAGGTGCCACCTGGGAGGCCAAGGGGAACGCGGCGGCAACCATATTTAGTTTAACAAATGTACACGCTTACAGGAAGAAATTGGGTCAAAAGACACGTGTCATTAAAGGATTGATGGATTTGGCTAGGCATGGAACCGCCAGTTCAAAGAGGGATGCTTTGGTGACAATTTTGAATTTGGCGGGAGATAGGGAGACCGTTGGTAAATTGGTCGAGGGAGGGGTGGTGGAGATGGTTAGTGATGTTATGGATGAGTTACAGGAAGAGGCTGTGACAATTTTGGAAGTGGTGGTGAAAAAGGGTGGATTGGTGGCAATTGCTGCTGCTTATCATATGATTCAAAAATTGGCTAGGGTCTTAAGGGAAGGTACCGATAGGACTCGAGAGAGTGCCATGGCAACACTTGTAAATATTTGTCGAAAGGGTGGTTCTGAAACTGTGGCTGAGCTTGCGGCTATTCAGGGGATTGAGAGAGCGATATGGGAAGTCATGGGGATGGGAACAGGGAGGGCTAGAAGCAAGGCAGCGACACTATTGAGGATCTTAAGGAGATGGGCAGCTGGTTTGGAAAGTGAAGAAACAGCTCGGTACTCAAATGTGCATATGAATTCAACAAGGATAGTATTGCCAGGGTGACTGTTGTATTTATTATTTCTTTATTTCAATTGTAGTTTGGCCATGGTAGATTCATTTGTTTTACTCAAGCCCATTGCATTGATTTTAATTTTAATTTTAATTTTTTTTTCATGTTTTAGTGGCACCAACTCATGCCAAATATGTGGCAAATCTTTCAATTTCGGGCAATACACATTGCATACAAAGTGAAGCATAAACATTGTTCAGTTCAATATCTTCGGTTACTATTTTGGGTCGAGGGTTTTAATAGAATTGGAACCATTTTTAGTTGTGATTTTTCTTCCGTGTGTGCTATGCTCCCAAGATTAACTGAAAATGATCTCTTGTAACTCATCATGCGCCATAAATTGTACTAAGGCGACCGTTCAAGGGCCCCTATCTTTACGACCTGAGCTTAAGCAAATCAAGGGTTGGCAGCAGGAGAAGTGAAAGCTTGCCGATAGCCCACGAATTCTATTCTAGTATTTCCTCCATTATTTGTTTGAGCTCGTTCAAGGCCTTAAAGAATCTACTCTTACTGTGACATGAGCATTGCATTAGAGCTCTCAGTGACAATGGAAGTTTGAGTGTGCCTATTTATTTTCGTATCCAAACCAAATATCCACAACCTGAAATGGCATTGAATTTGTTGGCGGTGGCTCAAATTTCTGTCTGATTGGATAAATTTTTTCGGCAGAAGGATTAAGGATTTTGGTGCTAGTTTTCTTGAACAAAAAGAAAAATTTTTGATTGGTTAAAAATGGAGAAAAAACTGTGGGGGCTAAATGAAGTTGCTTTGGCATTCTTTCTAGCTAAGGAACTCAAGCTCATTGGTGAAGAAACATGGCATCTGGAGGTTCCTTTTGTAAGTGGTTGGGTGATATCATTACTAAAAGTTTATTGGAGGATGCAAGTGGCAAGAGGTGATCTTGTGCTAGACGCATGGACTGGAAGAAAAGTTTGGGATGATGCTGAGCCATGTGAATCGGATAGATGAACTCCACCACCTCTAGAAATGCGAAGGAATTCATTTGTCACCGCCTTGAAATGTCTATATATTGCACGAGTTTTTTGGCTTCAAATGCATCCGAAAGTTGTAATACTTTAATTTATTTTTTCTCTTATTTGAGAGGTTTTTTAACTGAATTTTGAGAGGGTAAGATTGAGTGAGTTATCCAAGGGATTAAGGGCTTGGGTTTGAGATTTAAGTTTGAGTGGTAAGGCTTATACCGTTGTAAGGAGAGGAACATCTTATCATTATGTGAAAGAAATCTGGAGATCGAATATCATGATTCACACATGTATGTTCTAAATCTTGTAATTTAGGTGTTCTAAATTTCATATACCAATCGTTAATAAATTGTTACATGTGGTAAAACAATTTTACTGAGTCACATAAATCTTGGTGTTGTGAGTTGTGCTTTGATTTTTTTTATTTCGTTAATTTATTTTCTTGGTGTTGTACTAACCAAATTGCTACAAGGTTAACTTCTAACAAGTGGTATCAGAGTCTTAGGTTTGTCCAAGAGGATTATTATTTAGAACAAGTGTGCATAGTTCTTAAATACTGACACCTAATACGATGATGGAAAAAAACATCTCGGTGGGCAAATTCGAGGTGGAGATTTTTTATGGGAAAATAATTTTAGTCTGTGGCAAAGTACGATTAAAGACATCTTGGTGCAACAAGGATTGTCGAAAGCAATACTTCAGAAAGACAAGATACAAGTGGACATTAAAAAGGGACACTAAGAGGAACTCGAGATGAAAGTTGTGACTACCATCTGTTTATCTCTCGCACCAAAAGTAAAATATAAATTTTTTAAATGAAACTTCTGTTCTAAATTTATGGAAAAAATTAGAAAAGATTTATATGTCAAAATCTCTTACAAACAAATTGTTCCTAAAAAAATAATTATATCAATTGCAGATGGTAGAATGAACAAAAATTGTTGATCACCTTAACCAGTTTAATAAAATTGTTACTCAATTTTCTAGTATTGAGTTTAAAATTATAAAGGAGGATAAAATTATTCTTCTCTTCCATGTTCTTTTGATACACTTGTGACTACACTTTTGGTTGAGAAAAACACTTTCATGGTTGATGAGGTGATGACGACTCTTTTAGAGATTGAGACACTTCAAAGGCCAAGAAATGGTTCCCAAGCAGAATGGGTTGATGGCCAATAGTGAACCAAGCTAGTAACAAGGAAGAAGTAAAAATAAAGGCTTTGGAAACAAATGGAGGACGCACCCCAAATCAAAAAAGAAGAGTGGTAGCAAAAACAAGTGTTACTACTGTCACAAAGAAGGACATATGAAAATGAATTGCTATCAAAGAAAGCAAAATTTGGAGGACAAATAAAAATTTGCGAATTCAAATCAAACAGGCATTGCACAAGATGATTCAAACGGTAATGGTGATTTATTGTCAATCACCACAGGTATGAATTATCTTGCCGACAAATGGATATTAGATTCTAGGTTTTCTTATCACATTTTTACGTATAGAGAATGGTTTAATACTTATAAACCCTATAATGGAGGAATTGTTCTAATGGATAATAATGCAGTTTGTAGTACTGTTGGGATTGAAATCATTAAAATTAAAATGTTTGATGGTATGGTGAGAACACTAGGTGATGTATGACATGTCCCTGACCTTAAAAAGAATTTAATTTTTTTAGCTATACTTGAATCAAATGATTTCACTTTCACATCAATAGGTGGTGTCTTAAAAGTTAAGAGAGCCTTGGTTATCATGAAGGGGAAACGGTAGGATAACTTGTATACATTGGTAGGAGGTACTATTATAGGTGGAGTAGTTGTGACAACTTCATTAGATTCGAGTACTGATGACACTACTCTATGACATTTATGTCTTGGCCATATGAGAAAGAAAGGGCTGCAAGAACTTCATAGACGAAAGTTGTTTGATGGAATAAAAGTTTGTAAATTTAATTTTTATAAATATTGTTTGTATGGTAAACAGTGCAAGGTGAGCTTCAAAACTGGGAATCATACAAGTAAGGATGTGTTGGATTACATACACTCTGATGTATGAGGACCCTTATCAGTTCAATTCCAAAGTGGAGTGGTATATTTTGTAATATTTATTGATGACTTGTTTAGGAAAGTATGGTAAATGAAGTACAAAAACAAAGTTTTCGACAAATTCTAGTAGTAAAGTTGAAAAATAGATAGGTAAGTAGGTCAAGTACTTACGGACGGACAACGACATGGTGTATAAATTTTGGGAATTTAGAAAGTTTTGTTGAATGGAAGGGATCACTTGATATTATACTACACCAGCTGGGCCATAATAAAACAGTGTAGTAGAAAGAATGAACATGACTTTTTTTTAGAGAAAGCAAGATGTAAGAGATTTTTTGTAGGTTTGTTAAAATTATTTTGGGCGGAGTTTGTTAACATGACATGTTATATTGTTAACAGGTCATCGTGTTCGGCTATTGATGTAAAAGTCCCTGAGGAGATGTGGACAGGTAAACTAATTGATTATTTTATTTTGAGAATATTTAGTTGTTCTGCCTATGTTCACATGCAGGAACAACAATGATCGAAGTTGGACCCAAAAGTCCAAACAGTGCATATTTATTAACTATGAAAAAGGCGTGAAATGTTACAAACTTTGGGATCCAGTTACATTAAAGGTTGTAATCAGTAGGGATGTTGCCTTCAATAAAGAGCATATGTTGAATTTAACCAGAGAGGATGCTAATAAATATGTGGAGGCTCATGCAAAAAAAAAACTTATTCCAGATAGAGCTAGATGAAACACAATAGCCCAGTGAATAGGATATTGGTGCATCATCCTCTTAGGAAGATACATTTGATGGTGATGATGAGTAGCAAGTGTTAATATTGATAAATGGAAGAAAAGAGAGAGAAAGGTCAAGAATAATGTTTAGTGTAATCCATTCAGTAATGCAACCTTAACACAAATACAAAATGTAGGCCCTTATGAATTAGGACAACAAAATAATGTAAAATACCTAAACTAACCATAATATAAATACTCCAGCATCCCATCTCAAACTCATGATGTGGTAACATCAAACATCAAGAGTTTGCCAAGGAGAAAACGAAAGCGTGCTATAGTGTGAGATTTGGTGAAGAAATCTGCCAGCTACATAGTAGAAGGAAGATATGGAAGAGAGATCGTGCCTGATTGAAGATGATGGCGCACGAAGTGACAGTCAATCTCTGTATCTTTGGTGCGCTCATGGAATACCGAGTTGTGAGCAATCTGAATAGCACTGGTGTTATCACAATACCTAGAAATATGAGTAGTCAAGGAAATGCCAAGATCAGCAAGCAACCAACGTAATCAAACTATCTCTGCTGTGGTAGATGTCATAGCACGATATTCAGTTTCAGCAGAAGAGCGAGCTACAACAATTTGTTTCTTGCTTTTTTAGAAAATAAGAGAATCACCAAGAAAGAGACAAAAATCAGTGGTGGATTTGCGATCCATAGAATCACCAGCCCAGTCCGCATCAGAGTAAGAATGGAGCTCCAGAGACGAAGAAAAAGAAAAAAATAAACTTTGATGTAACGTAACCCGTAGATATTGAAGAATCCAAAAAATAGCAGACCAGTGAAGTGTGGTAGGAGCAGCAACAAATTAACTAACCACATAAACAATATCTAGACCAGTAACATTAAAATACACCAAACTCGCAACAATAGTATGATATAAGGTAGGATATGGTAGGAGAAAACCATCAGAGGAAGTATAACGAACATTAAGCTCCAAGGGTGTGTCAATAGTTCGAGTATCCGATAAGTAAGCTCACTAAATTTCATCTGAGAAATATTTTGATTGAGAAATAAGATAACCCTCGGGAGATGAAACAACCTCAATCCCTAAGAAATATCGAATTGGACCCAAATCTTTTATCTCAAAATAATTTTGTAACTGAGTTTTCAACAACTAAATTCCAGCATTGTCATCACCTGTAATAATCATGTCATCCACATAAAGTAATACAAGAATGAAAACAGAATAAGTAGATCGAAGGAAGAGTGTAGAATCATGATCACTAGCACAGAAGCCTAAGTCACATATGACTGAAGAAAATTTTGTAAACTATGCCCTCGGAGCCTGTTTAAGACCATATAAAGCCTTGTAAAGTTTGCACACATGACCAGAACTACAAGGCAACCTAGGAGGAGGAGTTATATAGACTTCTTCAAATAAATCACCATGAAGAAAAGCGTTTTTCACATCCATCTGAGAGAGGCTCCACTGACGAACAGCTACCACAACAATTACTGTGCGAATTGTGGTCATCTTAGCCACTGGAGCAAAGTTCTCATCGTTGTCAAGCTCATACTCTTGAGCAAATTCCTTGACCACTAATCTAGCCATGTACTTCTTCACAGAACCATCAGATTGAGTTTTAATTTTATAAACCCACTTACAACCAATGAGGCGTTTACTAGGAGGTAAAGACACAAACTCCCAAACTTGAGTCTTATGTAGCACAGAAAGATCCTCATCCATAGCTTGTTGCCAAAGAGGATCAAGTATAGCCTTCTTATGGGAGATTGGTTCAGACAGAGAATGTATAGAAGTCAAGAAAGAACAAAAATCAGAAGAATAACAAGAGTTGGACCAACCAAACCTGTCAAGACACTTCCGAGTGCGCTGAGGGTAACGAGAAGTGTGATCTACTGTGTTAGAAATTGATTGGGAGTCAAGAGGTGCAGATGAAGGCACAATATCTGTAGAGGAGACAGTGAGAGTCCTGCAAATATAAGTATGCACAATCAGGGGACGGGTAACAGACAAATCACGCAAAGAGCAAGAAGAAGAAGAGGAGGGAAGATCAGCCACAATCATATCACCAACATAGGAATCAAGAGAAACATTAGAGGGAAAGAGATCAAGATAAATAAGATAAAATTTATGCAGAGATGAAGAACTAGATATAATAGAGAAAAAAGGAATATGCTCCATAAAAATAACATGTCAAGAAATATAGAGTTTTTGTGTACTAGAATCATAACATTGAAATCTTTTTTGTCCCTCACCATAGCCAAGAAAAACACATAAGGCTGAACGAGCCGAGAGTTTGATACGATTAACACTAGGTAGCAGAATAAGACATGTACATTCAAATACATGGAAGGAGAAATAGTTAGGTATTTTACCACATAATTTTTCAAAAGGTGAGACGCTAGAATTAAGGATTGTAGGAATGCAATTAATCAGATGAACTGCTGTAAGAACTGCTTTTCCCCAAAAAGAGC